CTCACAAGCTTGTAATTGTAAGAGCAGGAACTGTGTGTGCCCCACTCACCAGTGCAGTGCACAACGCCTGGTACATAGGAGGCATCTCATTACATGTTGACTGAATTAGCTGAATATAGTTTTTCCCCTTGCTGTCACCTGGAGTTGGTGTCAGGGCTGAAAAAGGAATTCTTTCAGGTAAGAGCAGTTTGGGTAGAGCTGATGGACCCTGAGGATGATGGGGCAATTTCCCCCATGTCTGTGGTAACTCCTGGCTGCCCACCCCTTAGCTAGTCTCGCCTGCGTACACTCACCGTGGTGTGTCCATCCTCATCATACTGTCGCAGCTGTCCCAGGAACTCCAGGTGCTTCTTTTCCTCCTCCAGCTGAGCCACAGCCTGTTCACTGCGCTGTAGCCGCTGCTGGGTGCCAGCCAGCTCGTCCCGCAGCCACTGGTTCTCCTGGCATAGCCGCCGCACCTGAGCCCGCAGCTTCTGTTTCTCCGACTCCACTGTGCTCAGGTGGCTGGCTAGAGCCAGCATCACCTAGATGGGCATATCCCCTGAGCTCCAGATTCTGGGTGGGAGTATTCAGGAACAGGTGGAAGGGGAGCCTACTGGGACATAGCAAGACTGGCAGGGGCACAAAGGAGCCAGAAGGTGGGGGTGTAGCAGTGGCACTACCTTCAAAACACCCTGAATCCAATTTCCCACTACCTCCACTGCCGTCACCCTGGGCCAAGCCACTATCAATTCCTACCCAAATTACTACAATAACTTCCTCACTGGCCTCCTTGTTGCTGCCCTTGTTCTCCTACTGTCTATTCGTAACCCAGCAACTAGATGATGCCAAGTTAGACCACATCACTCCTCTTCTAAAAACATTCCAATAGTTTCCATCTCACTCAAAGTAAAATCAGGGTCAGGCACAGTGGCTCACGCCTATAATCCCAGCATTTTGGGAGGCCAAGGCGGGTAGATCATGAGGTCAGGAGTTCAAAACCAGCCTGGCCAACATGGTGAAACACCATCTCTACTAAAAATACAAAAATTAGCCAGGTGTGGTGGTGCGCGCCTGTAGTCCCAGCTACTCAGGAGGCTGAGGCAGGAGAATCGCTTGAACCTGGCAGACAAGAGGTTGCAGTGAGCCAGGATGGTGCCACTACATTCCAGCCTGGACAACAGTGCAAGACTCCATCTCAAAAAAAAAAGTAAAATAAAAGTCCTCGGGATGGCCTACAAGTTCCACTTGATCCATCTCCCTCCCCTCATTCACTCTACTGCAGCCATACTGGCCCCTTGCTGTTCACTGACCTCACCAGGCAGACTTCCATTCAGAGTCTCTGCATTTGCTGCTCTCTCTGATTAGGATGCCCTTCCCCTGTTTAATAGGCATGACTCATTCCCCTCACCTTCACATCTTTGCCAAAATGTCACCTTTTCAAAAAAGGGTGACCTTTTTTGACCACCCTATCTAAAATTATACCCTCTCTCCACAGTCCCTAGTTTCCTTCCCTGCTTTATTTTGGTACTTTTATCCTTAGCAATTATCATTCTGGCGTACTGAATCATTATTTATTTAGGTATTGTCTGTCTTCCCCAGCTAGAAGGTAAGCTCCAAGATGGCAAAGATTTTTACAATTTTGTTCAATGATGTATTTCTTCAGTGACCAAAAGCATTCTGGCACACAGTAGTGACTTAATACATATTTAATGAATGGATGCAAACGTCTAGAGTGAGGTGATCCCAAGCAACCCCAAACCTTCAATCAGGTACCTGCTCCTCCATCCACCCTGGACCACTTGGCACCACCTTTGCCCTCTCACCTGGGCCTCACTCAGCCCGAGCTCAATGTTTTCCATAGAACGGCGAAGCTGCCGGGCCTTCTCATGCACCAGCCCTTCCTCGTGGCCTCCCTGCTGCAGACACTCAATGGTCTGGGACAGGCTTTGCAGCACGGCCTGGTGTTCACTGTGCAGGGCCTCTAGCCCTTGGCTGACCAGCCGTGTGCTCCCCAGGATCTCCTCTTGGCTGAGCCGGTGGCCTGCAGGCTCATCCCGCTGCCCCAACACCAGGCCTGACATCCTGGCCTGGGGGACCTTGCCCGGTCTAGGGAAAAACAACAGAGTTCGGCTGGCGTAAAGATGAGACAGAGAAGCTGAGAACTTTCTCAGAGGGTGGTGGGAATCCAAGTGAAGGGACAAAAGTAAGAGTGACCCTGTGGCTTAGTTGGAGAGAGAGAGTGACCAGCAGGCAGGGAGCCCAGATCACTAAACTCAAAGTTAAGGTTGTGGGCAAAGTGAGAGGGAGATGAATTGACTTAAATAAAGAAAGACTATAGTAGGAGCAAAGGTGCTTAGAACTAGCAGAAGGATTCAGGACTTAGGAAGAGAACAGAAAAGCAGTTAGAGCCTGAGTTAGGAAAAGTTATCCAGGGATGAGAGACAGCACTATGGAGATTACAGAGGATCTGAGGGAGAGCTTCAAAGGGCACAGGGCTAAAGTGGGATTATGCAGAAAATAATGCAAGGATCTAGAAAAAAGAGAAGGAATCTTTGCAAAGTTAAATCAGGGAACAAAGGGAAAAGAAGAAAACAGGAGTCTTCCTTGCAGGATCCACGTTAGAGGGTCCCAGAAAGCTCAAGGTCTTCAGGCTGCATCACCTGCAGAACTAAGCCCAGCATCTCCAAACCTGGTCAGTCCTACATCTTTTCCTACTTACCTTCAACCCATACTTCCCACCCCCCAGGACCCAGAATGTGTTCCCACTTCCTCAGAAGGGTCTTGTCTCTCATCTTTGAAGTCTTCTTACCTGTGTACAGAGCAGAGGCCCTGGCTGTGGCACTCAGGCCGGAGCCCGGAAGAAACTGTTCAGCAGCCAGAGAATCAGAAGGATCTGCCCTGCCCAAAGTCCAGAAGTCCAGCGTTCCCACCCCTTCTCTCACCACTTCACAGCTACCCAGAGGACCTGGCACAGAGCCCCACCCAGGACAAACAGCCTCCCTCCCTCACTCCCTCTGCCTACAGGTCTTTAAAGACGCCCAATTCCCTTCTCCTTACCCAAGCCAGCCTCCCTCATCGCAGGCCTGGGGAGCTACTGTCTCCCAGGAATATGAGAGAGAGAGACTTAATCAGAGACCTACAGCAAGAGGCATGTCTGGGAAAGGGGAGGGAGGAACACCTGGTCACTCCACACCCAGTCACTTCAATGGCTTTGTCTCTGTCACGGTCACCTACAAACAGGCTCTGAGAGGTATCACCGTAGGGTGCCCCCCTAATGCCCGATGATGCAGGGAAGAATGGGAGGTCTGCTGAACGGCTGCCGGGTCACAAGGAGGGTCTCCCGGGCCTGGAAACGCAGTAGAGGAGTGCCTCGGGCTGTCGACCTGCCCTGGGGCCCCGGGTTGGGAGAATGAGATGGGCGGGGGCGGTAGGGGGGAGGTGTGGATGGACGACCGAGGTCCGCAGCTCCAGCGAGGACCTGGAGGCCTAACGACCCCGAGGTCACTGAATCAGTTGGTGGCGCAGGGGGCGGGGCAGGCCGGCTATCTGTCTGTCTGGACGCCGAGGGGCGGGGAAGAATCGCGAAGGGCGGAGTTTTTGAGCCTGGAGTTTTGTAAGGTTGGTTGGAGGGGGTTTGTTTATCTTTCTGGGAGTGCGAGAATAAGAGATGGCAGAGACCTTAACCTTCAGCCTCAGAGGTACCCTCAAAGACTCACCTGCAATCTGCCGGTCTGGCTGCCGCTCTTGCCGGTACTGCCCCTTTAAATCCATGATGGCTGCCGCTCGAGGCAATTGTTTTGACGGGTCTGGGGGCGGGGCCTGTTTCCTAGTCACGGGACATTAGAGCTGCCCGCGGATTGGCTCTCACCGCGTTCAGGTAGGAAAGGAGGTGTGTATCCTGCTTGGGCTCCAGTTTTCTGCCCGCCTCCGTTTACGTTTTGCGGAGCGACGGCGCCGGACAGTCAACGTCATCTAGGAGCGCCGAGCAGCTTGGCTAAAAGTAGGGGTGGCGTGCTGAGCCCTGGATAGCCGGATGGCCCTGTGGGCACTGACCCGCGCTCTGCGCTCTCTGAGCCTGGCGCCCCCGACCGTCGCCGCCCCTGCCCCGAGTCTGTTCCCCGCCGCCCAGGTAATCCATCTTACCCGGGAAGAAGGCTGCTTCCATTCGGGCTACCGGAGATGGGGTCTGCGGGGATGCGAGGCGGGGGTTGCAAGTCTGGTCGGGAGTCACGCAGGTCCATGACCATGGATAAGGCACACTCAGCCTCAGCTTTTTCCTCCACAAGTGTTGCTATCTCATAGGGCGAAATTCTTCAGACGAGATACTTAAGGTGAAAGTGCTTTACAGATCACCGGTTATACAGGTTTCGGCAATAACTAACGTTTATCGAGTGCCTATGATAGGCCAGGTATAGGTAATAGACGTTTCAAATCAATGAACTCCTTTCAAATACTCTATAAGGCAGTTACTATTCCCATTTTATAGATGAGGAAAATGATAAGGAGTCCAAGGTCACACACACAACTATCAGAGCTAAGCAGTCTGTCTTTCAGAGCCAGTGCTCTTAACCATTATGATACGATACCTACAAGGATGAGTTACTGCTGATATTAGAGAATGCAGGGCAAGATACAAAGAACAGTGGCCTCAGGGGAAGGTATCCTGAGGTCCTAGTGGGTGGGTGACTGGTGAGTCACGCAAAAGAGAAGTAAGTCTTGCTCCTCTGGAGCTCTCAAGCTACTTATGGTAGAGTTTGACAGATGCATGTTTAAAATTCAAATCCAAATCAACCTACTCTGAAATGCTGGGAATACAGCAAGGAACAAGAGTGAAATGACCCCTCCCCTCCATTCGTATGTGAATAATTCCCAGCAACATAATGCAGAGGGCAAAAGGAATTGGCACTGATGGTGATACATGGATGTATGGAAGTTACCAGCTATGGAGAAGGGAATTGTTTAGGTAAAAACAGATTCCTGGAGATGGAGAGTTCTGGGCCAAATTTGGAAGGAGATGATCATGGGGAGAACATTATTGGGCAAGCTGTGAAGGGTGGAGTTTTTGGATAGCTGGTTTGGGATACATCCAGGAGGAAGTGGGCTGCAAGCTAAAATTGATCAGTGCCCTCCGACTTGGTTCTCTGATGCTTTGCCTTCAATTAGCTTTCAAATGAAAGAGATGTCTTTTTATCCCCAGATGATGAACAATGCCCTCCTCCAACAGCCCTCTGCCTTGATGTTGCTCCCCTGCCGCCCAATCCTTACTTCTGTGGCCCTTAATGCCAACTTTGTGTCCTGGAAGAGTCGTACCAAGTACACCATTGCACCGGTGAAGATGAGGAAGTCTGGGGGCCGAGACCACACAGGTGGGAGCAAGGACAAGGGGATTTAAGCAATCAAAGGGAAAAACATGTTAAGACCCTAGATCTGTATATTGACACACTTGTACCTTGTAAGGCAGAGGAATGTAATTAAAAAGCACTTATTTGGCTCCTTTTGCATGTAGTAGGTGCACAGGAACCAGAGAGTAGAATACAAAGCAAAAGGTAATTGGTCTGTACTTCTAAAGATAATTTGGGTAATTGAAGAAAATGGGCCATACACAGGATGTGCCATGACATTTTCCTTCACACCCTTCGAAAATTTATAACAGACTGGGTAAGGTTGCTCATGCCTGTGATCCCAGCACTTAGGGAGGCTGAGGTGGGCAGATCACCTGAGATCACAAGTTTGAGACCAGGCTGGCCAACATGGCAAAACCTCGTCTCTACTAGAACTATAAAAATTGGCCAGGTGCAGTGGCTCACACCTATAATCCCAACACTTTGAGAGTCCAAGGCAGGCAGATCACTTGAGGCCAGGAATTCAAGACCAGCCCGACCAACATGGTGAAACCCCATCTCTACTAAAAATATAAAAATTAGCCAGGTGTAGTGGTGCAGTCCTGTAATCCCAGCTACTTAGGAAGCTGAGGCATGAGAATCACTTGAGCCTGGGAGGTGGAGCCTGCAGTGAGCCAGGATCGCGCCATTGCACTCTAGCCTGGGCAGCAGAGCAAGACTCTGACTGAAAAAAAAAAGATTAACCAGGTGTGGTGGCAGGCACCTGTAATCCCAGCTACGCAGGAGGCTGAGGCAGGAGAATCACTTGAACCCAGGAGGTGGAGGTTGCAGTGAGCCGAGATCACGCCATTGTATTCCAGCCTGGGTAACAGAGCAAGACTCGTCTCAAAAAATGTGTATATTTATAACAGGCTGGGTGTGGTTGCTCCTGCCTTTAATCCCAACACTTTAGAAGGCCAAGGCGGGAGGATCACTTGAGGTCAGGATCCAACCTGGGCAACAGAGTGATACCCTGTCACATGCACAAAAAATAACAGTTGAAATTATTTGAGTATGATTTACATGACTCTCAGTAAACTTATTGATTTCAGTAATTTGAAAATGTTTTATCTGGAAGTTTTATACAATTTCAGTAATGTTTTTTCACTTAGCTTCATGTTGGTGTTGACCCTCCTTACTCCAGTGTGCTGTGCAAATTTTGATCATTCTCTGTAAGCAGTGCTCTCTGGCAGAGAATGGGCCAGGTCCCAGTGCTGGAAACTGAACTACTCTCACCTGAATCATATCCCCAACTGTCCTAAACCACAGGCCGAATCCGGGTGCATGGTATTGGTGGGGGCCACAAGCAACGTTATCGCATGATTGATTTTCTGCGTTTCCGGCCTGAGGAGACCAAGTCAGGACCCTTTGAGGAGAAGGTTATCCAAGTCCGCTATGATCCCTGTAGGCAAGTTTGGGATGTGGGATGATGATGGAATGGTCTGAATAACTGCATAGCTTCTCAGGAGATGTGGGGCTGCCTAGATGGTCTGCTTACCTGTCCCTCACCCTGATCAGGTCAGCAGACATAGCTCTGGTTGCTGGGGGCAGCCGGAAACGCTGGATCATCGCCACAGAAAACATGCAGGCTGGAGATACAGTCTTGAACTCTAACCACATAGGCAGAATGGCAGGTGAGAGATGGCTACCAGATGTGTGGGCTGGAGGCAGCAAAGGTTCTAGAGCTAATGAAATCCTGTCTTTTAGTTGCTGCTCGGGAAGGGGATGCGCATCCTCTTGGGGCTCTGCCTGTGGGGACCCTCATCAACAACGTGGAAAGTGAGCCAGGCCGGGGTGCCCAATATATCCGAGCTGCAGGTATGGGGAAAGGAGTTGCCTGGGTCCTATAGTTTGGAAAGGCAAGGAGAGTCTGAACCGATGGTTCCACATCTGGCACTGGTAGAGAAAATTAAGGAAAAAACAAGAAACATGAGGATGAAGATATGCATGTGTTTTGACCTAAAATGTAGCATGCATTCTTCTTTGTGTATCTGTTCCTAAAGAGCAAAGCAAGGGCAGCATGTGGGGTGTGGCCCCTGTGTAAATTCCTCTGCACCCCCCCGTTTTGTGGAGGGTGGCAGATCAGCTTCTTTCCCCAGGGACGTGTGGTGTGCTACTGCGGAAGGTGAATGGCACAGCCATTATCCAGCTGCCGTCTAAGAGGCAGATGCAGGTGTGTATGGGTATGGCTGGGAGGGGTCAGCAAAGGAGGAATTTTTGGAATATAACTTTCCTGTCTGGGGTAGGTAGGTCCCAGCTGTTTTATGATGCAAGGAACTGCCTTGAGCTGAGGCTGTCCTTTTCTGCCACATGACTTAGGTGTGCTTTGTCGGATTGGCACCATAAGTAATTTTTTTTTTTTTCGAGACAGAGTCTTGCTCTGTCACCCAGGCTGGAGTGCAGTGGCACGATCTTGGCTTACTGCAACCTCCACCTCCCAGGTTCAAGCAGTTCTCCTGCCTCAGCCTCCTGAGTAGCTGGGATTGCAGGCATGCACCACCACAGCTGGCTAATTTTTGTGTTTTAGTAGAGATGGGGTTTCACCACGTTGGCCAGGCTGGTCTCGAACTCCTTACCTCGTAATCCGCCCGCCTTGGCCTCCCAAAGTGCTGAGATGACAGGAGTGAGCCACTGCGCCCGACCCTAATTTTTTTTGAGACAGGGTCTCTATTGCTTGAGTGCAGTGGCACAGTCAGCTCACTGCAGCCTCAAACTCCTGGGTTCAAGCAATTCTGCCTCAGCCCCCCAAGTAGCTGGGACTACAGGCGCACGCCACTCTACCAGGCTAATTTTCGTATTTTTTGTAGAGGCAAGGTATCACCATGTTGGCCAGGCTGGTCTCAAACTCCTGAGCTCAAGCGATCTGCCTGCCTAGGCTCCCGAAGTGCTGGAATTACAGGTGTGACCCACTGCACCTGGCCCTGGCTAATATTTTTTATTTTTGTAGAGATGGGGTCTCATTATGTTGCCCAGGCTGGTCTCGAACTTCTGAGCTCAAGTGATCCTCCAGCCCCGGCCTCCCAAAGTGCTGGGATTACCAGCGTGAGTCCTTGCGCCCAGCTCTTTGTTTTCAACTACCTAGTTCCTACTGTAGGACCTTCACTTAGCTTCAACCATCTTGTGCTTTTCCTTTTTCCTCTCTCCTCTCCTTGAGTCTAAGAAGCCCCCCAAGGGTTTTGCTGTCAACACTGTCAAGCTCTTTCCCCCACATTGTATAGAATCTCCATCTGTTTTCTCTGTCAGGTGCTGGAAACGTGCGTAGCAACAGTAGGCCGAGTATCCAACGTTGATCATAACAAACGGGTCATTGGCAAGGCAGGTCGCAACCGCTGGCTGGGCAAGAGGCCTAACAGTGGGCGATGGCACCGCAAGGGAGGCTGGGCTGGCCGAAAGATTCGGCCACTACCCCCTATGAAGAGTT